ACAGCTTTTAAAGAACATTTTGTTGTGAACTAGCAAAACCTGTTCTGGACGCACACACAGAACTGCTCGCCATCTGCAGTGTTTGCCAGCGTGACTTTTTTTTTTTTTTTTTTTGCGGGAAACATTCCGGCGGCCCGCTGCCTGGGGGGCCTCACCCAGGGAAGACGTGGGCTCCCAGGAATCAGACGGCAGAAGCCCACGAGCCAAACTTTGCTCCCTCGGAGGCTGAGCTGGCCCCCTCGTCGTGCGGGGAGGCAGGGGGGATCCCAAACCTGCTGCTCCAGCGGTGCCGAGGTCCTTGCAGACCTTGGTCCTGGCTTCGTTCTCCTTCAATTAACAACAGACGTGGAACGAAACATAACATTTTAGGAAAGATCTTCCACATGTTTGGTTTTGGCAGCGTCCGACAGCTTTAAGGGAGCCAAAAAATAACTAATCCTCCTTTCCTTCAGCCGAGGGGCGGCTGAGGAGTGGGACCAGTGGAGGGAAAGGGAAGGAGGGTGAAAAGGGAAGGGAGAGGAGGAGAAGGCAGAAAAACGGCCAAACTGGAACCAGTCACTCCCAGTTCCCAGTTAAAGCATCTCCGAAGTGCAGATACCCACGTCCCCATCACCAGGGCACTGCATAGGGGGTGGCAGCACCTCTGAAAGAGGACTGTATCCCTTTCGTCCCTGCAAAACGAGTCACTTCCCTGATATTGGCGGAAAACCTCACACCAAACCCAGCTTCTTGGGATTAAATCAGCTCCCAACCCCCCGTGGCAACGAGAGCCGCGGAAAAACTCCCACTGAAGTTGAAAATACACGCGATGCAACCGCGAATACACCTATCTCTCGATTTAATACGCCACCAAGCGCAGTCTAAACCCTCAAGTGAAGTACACAGACATGCACAGGCCACCAAGTCTGCACGTTGGGCAAGTTACTTCTCCCCGGACAGCTGCGCTGGGTTTAGTTTTTCCACAGGCAGCCAAAATGGTTCCTTTTAAGAAAAAAAACTACCTGTAACAAAAAAAAAACAAACCCACAACCCAAACACCAAAGACCAGCTATGACTTCACTTTACAATAAATCCCCCCCAGAAAAGCTTCATCAGGTGTTTGGGAAGTGACACTTTTAGACTTTAGAAACACGCCGCTTCTGACTCAGCCGTGAGCTTTCACCTCTAATTGCCCCGTGACACCACCACGGCACATCCATGCCAGCAAAATCCTCCTGCACCGAGGTTTTCAGCACAACCTTCCCCCATGGAAGTCATAAAAAAAAAAAAAAAAAAAACAAACCCCAACCAACCCCACAACACAAGGGTTTGCGTGAAAGGGGGTGGGGGAAGGACTGGAGGAATCTGTTCTTTTGCTTTGCTGTTCAAGCAAAATGCTTTTTCGCAAACACAGCCAAGAAAGGAGGCAACACACGTAGCAAACATACTTGGGCTGAGCTTAAAGGGGTTTAAACTTCGGGCCTGGAACACACGGTTGGTAGATCTGCGCAAAATTCATCTTAAATTTAAAACAGGGGCAGAAAAGCGGCGACCAGGGGAAGCAGAGGAGTATTTGCAATTCCAGAATCGTTTGAAAAATACATTAAAAAAAAAAAATCTCAACTATTCATTTCAGCAGCGTTGGCAAGCGGCAGGAAGGGCAACTCTGCTCGGGGGGATCGGGAGCAGCAGAGGGCAAGGGAGAAGGGGTTTGTCATCCCGAATCAAAGCAGATTCCCAGATTTGGGGGGACAGAGCCGCAGCCCCTGAAGCAGCGAGGAGCCACACTTGACCACCTCAGCTTTCAAATGACATAAACTCACTGTTTACCACCAGAGAAATCAGTTATGGGATCAATTTTTGCTTGGCTAATAAAAAAAATGAATCGCACATCTGACAAGTTTTTTCCAACGTCTCCCAGCCGTTTCCCATGCGGGCCGGGGATCCGGGCTCCCTCGCCAACCCCAAAATCCTGCTGCCAGCTGCTCCCCGGGAAGCGGGAGCTCCCCGAGGTCGGGCTGTGGCTGCCGGTTAACGGGGCCGGTGACTCCTGGCTATGACCCCGAACCCCCTATGGCTGCCACCTCCCCAGGGTTTTTTCTCCCCCAAATCCCGCTCTGCTTCGAAAACTCAAGGACATCTCAGCTGCTGAGGTGCTTCACCGCCAGCGCGGGCCTGGGGCTCCCCCAATTTTGGGGAAGGTGGGCAGTGCACCCCCCACTGTGACACCCACCTGGATCTGGGGTGCAGCCAGCACCCAAACCCTGGGACCCTCCGGTCCACAGCGGGTGCCGGTGCCCTCCAACAGCCGGGTCTGGGGGTGCGGGACCGGCCCCCCGGGACCCCCCAGGGCTGCACCCCCGGGACCCCCCAGCCCTCC